ACCAGAGCTCCCCCAGAAACTCTCTCTCACACCTTCCCCAGCCAAAGGCCTCCCCCAAAGCACCACAACACTCGGCTGCTCAGCCAAAGCAAACACAATTTATTTTGCAGGGTCAGGGCCATAAAGGTGTCCTCTTGTTTATTAAACAAGCACACTAAAGGCAATAAGCGCACTAACGCAATCACACTAATGTGAATTAGGTAAATATCTCTCACTATATGCAGAGAATAAGTACAATAAAGCAAATCAGAGGTATACATATGTAAGTAAAGTTCAGAAGAAAGTTAGCAACGCATCAACTCATGACTGTGTAGAGACAGCAGAGATTAAGAAGAAATACATCACCAGTTACCACTGGATCATCAGCCAGTCCCACACCTCCAGCAGGGAAGCCCCCTTGCAGCTGATGCCAGGAGTCTCAGGTAATTGGGAAATTCCTATGCAGTGCCTCCACCAGTAGGTGAGGCTTCTCCCATGGCCACAAGAGGGTCCTGCTTTTATAGGCTTATAAAAACAACCGGCTTTATACTAGATCTCTGGTTCTTTACTCATGGGACCATACAGTTTCTCATGATCTCACCATACTCCAAGCTGAGAGCGTTGGCCAGGCACCCCAGTACGGACAACTATGAAGATCATAGAACATCTACACCCCTCTGTTTCCTACCTCTTTCTGACAAACAAACACAATGAACATAAACGTATGTACTCTACTGAACACAGTGTGGCAAACAGCATCCTTTGTTATGTCCCTCAGTCATGAGAGAGAATCAATTCTCAGGTAGTTTCCCATCCATTACATGGTCATTGCAATGGGGAGCAGAGCTCAGGCCTCCCCCTCCCCAGCAGGGCCTTGGGCAGTGCTCTCCATGGGGATGCCCTCAGGCGCGGGGCTCTCCTCCTTGCTCCTCTCTTTCTCTTCAAACACTCTGCGCAGGGCGACTTGGATGGAGCCTCGGAAGCGGCGCTGCCGGCAGCTCCCCACCAGGAAATAAATGACTGGGTTGATGCTGCTGTTCAGCAGAGCCAGCACCAGAGTCACCCTTTCATGAAATAGAAAACCATAATATAAAAGCTTAAGGAAAGCATTTACGCTGAAAGGCATCCCAAAGGCGAAGAAGAAGATGACATTGAGCACAACAGCAACATAGAGTTTCCCCAGGCGCCGTCTCTGTGAGCCACATCGGAGCCTCATGACCATGGACACGTTGGAAATCAACATCGTTACTGACAAAATCACAGAATACACAATGCCCACACTTGCAAAGAGTGTGTACAGCCTTTGACCAAAGAGAGAGCAAATATAAATGGAAAAACTGAACGACCCAATGCTGGCCCAGAGCACCCCACTGATGATGCCTGACAAGTGCTTAGGGCGGTGGCAACGATACCAGATTGGGAAGATGACAGAGCCACAGCGCTCTGTGCTGATGGCTGTCAGGAGACCCAGGCTGGTAAGGACTAACAAGTGGCACAGAAATGGAACTGCACCTATGTACATAGTGAAGAAAGGAAGAAAATTATCGAAACCATAGCAAACTATTGTTAAGTTGACATACCCCAATATGAGCAGAATATACACGAGGAGCACAGAGCAGTCAGCAACAGCCAGATTTAGGATGTAGACAGTGAAAGGATTGCGCTTCATCTGGAAGCCCAGAAACCACAAGACTATCCCATTCCCCACCATTCCAAAGACACAGATCCCCAGACAGACAAAATAAAAGGCCATATATCCAGGAGGAAAAAAGTAACATGGATTTTGAGCATTTCCCACATTGCTCCAATTTCGACCGTGTGTGTAATTCAGAGAGAGGTCTGTTCTGTTGGTCTCCTCCATGGAGAATGACCCTGCTCCGGGCGGCCGCCTTCTCCCTCTGCCACCACCTCCTAGCAGACACAAGCAATGAGAAGGCAATGAGGGCCATCGGCGTTCCCCGCGCTCCCCATCTCTCCCCACAGCCCCACGCCAGCCCCAGGCTGCTCCAGGAAGGACCCGTCCCCTGCGTGCCCAGGACAGGCTCCCAGCCCTGCAGGCCTGGCCCTGCCCAGGAGCCATCTCCCACCTGCCCGTGCCCGCTCTCCTTCCTCCTGCTGCTCCTGCCAACAGCGCTGCTGCACGAGCTCCAGCACAGGGGCCTCCAGCCTGGGCAGCACAAAGCCTCTGGGGATGCTTCCGTGGCCACCCCGCTCTGCTCTGCCCTGTTCCTCGTGCCTGGGGAGCAGAGCTTTGCCCACAGATCACGGCCGTGCTCAGCAGACACCCCTCACAATCTGCCCACATCGCTGACAGCTTCCCCTCACATGGCCCATGGGCAGAGATCTTGTCAGTAGGAGCTGGGCACGTCACCCCTTCCTCTCCTCCGCACAGCTTTTCAGCGGGAGGGGCTGATCTGTTATGGTCCCATGGGAAAGGATCTCAGGTTCCATAGAACATCCTCTGAAACACCGGTTTATACACCCAGAACTCTCAAGAAGTGAGGGCATGGGTCAGATAATCTTATGTGCCTTCAGCAAGGGGATGGTGGGGATGAGATTTGGCAGGGAAAGGGGAAGGCAGAAAGATGAGGATGAGCGGGATGAGCCAGGGACCATCAACAATGGGGGTGAAGGAGCAGAAACCCCTCAGAAGTCCCTGACACTCTCATGGCTTCAACACTGCTGATTCTTCCCATCCTCCTGGACGTGCGGAATCATCCCCACTCATGCCCATCCCTCCCTCTGCTCCCCCAGGCCTGATCCTGCACATGGGATGCCAAGAGAACCCCCTAGCAGTAGACAGTGAGGCAGAGCACGGCCTTGTGTCAAGTTGCCATGAGAAATCACCATTCCTCAGACACAGAACATCACGAGGGCTTTGCCCACTGCCTCTAATCACTCCCTGATGTGCATGTGTCTCCTCTGAGATTACACGTTGTGGGGTACATAGCACTGCAAATGTGCTTTTATCTACAAGGGGTTCCTGTCACACAATCTCATCCCTTAGCATCACAGGGAGCGGCATTTGCATGGCTTATTTTTTCTCCATCTTTCCTGTGTTTTCCAGCATTTAAATACCATTTTCAGGGAGTCAGAGCCTGTGCTTGTCATCCCCAAGGCTGGAGACCTCCAAGGGTATCCTTTGACTTCATGTGGTGAGTGCATGGTAATGAGCAAGGTCCACAGTCTCTCCAGGGCTCCAGCCTGGAGCTGCAGGAGTTAGGGCTTAGAGATAGACTTGAACCAGGGCTAGAGCACAGGCTGAAGGTTCACCCCTGAGAGGGGATGGAGAGAGGGCTTCAGGCAGGTACAGCTCCTGCCTAGCCCAGGCAAAGCCTGGTTGTGTAGGCCTGGAGCAAGGGGCAGGGGATCAATCAGTGGGTCAGAGCAAAGAAGGCGTGCTGTAGCCTTCAGGGCCCTGGGAGAGAATCAGAGTGCTGTACATGGACCGTTTGCTGTTGTTCTGTCATGCTTTATGAGATGAGGTCCCTTTATCCCCGTTCCCAACACTTCGGGGCCTAAAACGTGTCAGCTCCTGGTTGTCCTACAATGACAGCATGTGCTTTTGTTTCTTCACCTCCACTAGTGTGGAGGTATTTCCCGTTATTGATTTCTTCGATGGCTTTGTAGCCTCAGATGTCCCACAGGTATTATGTTCCATGCCTTGGCACATTAAAGCAAAGCCTTTAGCTCTTGGTGATGTCTCCCAGAAGAAAGATGGAAGAACTCTTTGAGCACCAGTTTCTATGTCATTAGAGACAACAAGCTGAGCCCTCATGCTGCTGCGTGTCTGCACCTCAGTGATCTGCCAGCACTGGTGGCCCCTGGCTCGTGTCTCCCACTCTCACCTTGCTGCCAGGGGCCATCCCTGGGAACGGTTTATGTACACTCCTGTGTTAAAATCCCAGCTTTCCCCATGTCAGTTCCTCCGGGAGTGAGTGATCCACAGAACACCCGGCCTGAGCAGTCCCAGGCCTGTGCCACACTGTGCATCTGCCTTGGCCATGGGCAGACCTTCTTGGCTGATGGTAAGGGAGGAGCCTGCAGGCAGCTCACACCGCGTGTGCTTGCCTGTATCTGAGACTGCTGCAGCAGTTCTCACGTGAGCATCCTTTTTGCTTGGCAGTAGAAAGAGCTGTCTTCTTCTTTCTGCAACCCCTGTAACAGCTCAGACACCAGAATGGGATAACATTCCATAGACAGGATCTGTATATTTGATGGTGCAAGATCCTGGGTTCCCAACACCTGAACGGGCACAAGATTATCTGACCCATGCCCTCACTTCTTGAGAGTTCTGGGTGTATAAACCGGTGTTTCAGAGGATGTTCTATGGAACCTGAGATCCTTTCCCATGGGACCATAACAGATCAGCCCCTCCCGCTGAAAAGCTGTGCGGAGGAGAGGAAGGGGTGACGTGCCCAGCTCCTACTGACAAGATCTCTGCCCATGGGCCATGTGAGGGGAAGCTGTCAGCGATGTGGGCAGATTGTGAGGGGTGTCTGCTGAGCACGGCCGTGATCTGTGGGCAAAGCTCTGCTCCCCAGGCACGAGGAACAGGGCAGAGCAGAGCGGGGTGGCCACGGAAGCATCCCCAGAGGCTTTGTGCTGCCCAGGCTGGAGGCCCCTGTGCTGGAGCTCGTGCAGCAGCGCTGTTGGCAGGAGCAGCAGGAGGAAGGAGAGCGGGCACGGGCAGGTGGGAGATGGCTCCTGGGCAGGGCCAGGCCTGCAGGGCTGGGAGCCTGTCCTGGGCACGCAGGGGACGGGTCCTTCCTGGAGCAGCCTGGGGCTGGCGTGGGGCTGTGGGGAGAGATGGGGAGCGCGGGGAACGCCGATGGCCCTCATTGCCTTCTCATTGCTTGTGTCTGCTAGGAGGTGGTGGCAGAGGGAGAAGGCGGCCGCCCGGAGCAGGGTCATTCGCCATGGAGGAGACCAACACAACAGACCTCTCTCTGAATTACACATATGACAAACTTAAATGTTTACATGCATCGGGTGGACTTATGATCTTGTTAGGTGTCCTCATGGTGATCTGTGTCTTTGGAATGGTTGGGAATGGGATAGTCTTGTGGTTTCTGGGCTTCCAAATGAAGCAAAACCATTTCACCATCTACATCCTAAATCTGGCTGTTGCTGACTGCTGTTTGCTCCTCCTGATTTTTCTGGTGATATTGGGGATTCTCAACTTAAAAATAATTTGTTATGATTTACATTCTGTAAATTCTTTCTTCAATAATTTCGTATTTATTCTTCGACTTCTGTGCAACTTCTTTGTCCTTACCAGCCTGGGTCTCCTGACAGCCATCAGCACAGAGCGCTGTGTCTCTGTCATCTTCCCTGTCTGGTACCGCTGCCACCGCCCTAAGCACTTGTCAGGCATCATGAGTGGGGTGCTCTGGGCCGGCGTCGGGTTGTTCATTTTGTCATACTATGTTTGCTCTCACTTTGGTGAAAGGTGCTACAGACCATTTGGAAGTGTGGGCATTTTCTGTTCCGTGGTGTTGTCATTAATAATGTTAATTTCCAACGTGTCCGTGGTCATGAGGCTCCGATGTGGCTCACGGAGATGGCGCCTGGGGAAACTCTATGTTGCTGTTGTGCTCAACATTATCTTCTTCTTTGCCTTTGGGATGCCTTACACTGTAAATGCTTTCCTCAATCTTTTATATTACCGTTTTCTGTTTCCTGAAACCGTGACCTTGGTGCTGGCTCTGCTGAACAGCAGCATCAACCCAGTCATTTACTTCCTGGTGGGGAGCTGCCGGCAGCGCCGCTTCCGAGGCTCCATCCAAGTCGCCCTGCGCAGAGTGTTTGAAGAGAAAGAGAGGAGCAAGGAGGAGAGCCCCGCGCCTGAGGGCATCCCCATGGAGAGCACTGCCCAAGGCCCTGCTGGGGAGGGGGAGGCCTGAGCTGTGCTCCCCATTGCAATGAGGCTCCTGGCCCTGGCCCCACCAAATAAACTGTGTGTGCTTTGGCTGAGCAGCCGAGTGTTGTGGTGCTCTGGGGGAGCTGTTTGTGTGCGGAAGGTGTGAGAGGGCGGCCGTGGGGGAGCTGTGGCCGTGTCTCTGGTCCCAGCCAGGCAGGGCTCTGGCAAAGGGACTGCAGAGATGGGGAAGCCAAGGAGCACCCCTGGGTGGGCTTGAGAAGGCTGAGAGAAAGAGAGAAAGAGAGAATAAGACCCGGAAATCATTACAGTTTGGAGAGTGATAGAGAGATGGAGAGGAAAAGAAAGAATGAAAGAAGAAAAAGTAAGAGTTAGAGAATGAATGGAAGGAAGGAAGAAACAGCTAAAAATCAAGGAAAGGCAAAAAGAAAAGGCAAAAGTAAAGTCAAAAAGAAAAGGCAAAAGCAAAGGCAAAAAGAAAGGAAAGGAAAGGCAAGGAAAGGCAAAGGAAAAACGAAGGAATGGGAAAGGAAATGCAAGGGAAGGCAAGGGACTTGAAAGCAAGGCAAGGAAAGACAAGGAGAAAGGTGAAGGAAAGGGCGAAGGAAAAGGCAAAGGGAAAGGCAAGGAAAGGGAAGAAAAGAAGAAGAAAGGGAAAGGAGGAGAAGGAGAATGAAAGGAATAGAAGGAAAGGAAAGGGAATTCAAAGGAAGGGAAGGAAAGGCAAGGAGAAAAGGAACTGCAAAGGGAAAGGCAAGGAAAAGGAAGAAAATAAGAAAAAAGTGAATCATAGAATCATAGAATAGTTAGGGTTGGAAAGGACCTCAAGATCATCAAGCTCCAACCCCCCTGCCATGGGCAGGGACACCTCGCTCTAAACCATATCACCCAAGGCCTCGTCCAACCTGGCCTTGAACACTGTCAGGGATGGAGCATTCACAACTTCCCTGGGCAACCCATTCCAGTGCCTCACCACCCTAACAGGAAAGAATTTCCTCCTTAGATCCAATCTAAACTTCCCCTGTTTAAGGAAGGGAAGGGAAGGGAAAGGAAAGGAAGGGAAAGGAAAGGAAGAGAAGGGAAAGGAAGGGAAGGGAAGGGAAGGGAAGGGAAGGGAAGGGAAGGGAAGGGAAGGGAAGGGAAGGGAAGGGAAGGGAAGGGAAGGGAAGGGAAGGGAAGGGAAGGGAAGGGAAGGGAAGGGAAGGGAAGGGAAGGGAAGGGAAGGGAAGGGAAGGGAAGGGAAGGGAAGGGAAGGGAAAGCAAGTGAATGGAAGGGAAAGCAAGTGAATGGAAGGGACGGAATGACAAGGAAAAAGGGTAATGAAAAGGGAAAGGGAAAGGCAAAGGGAATGGCAGAGGGAAAGGGAAGGAAAGGGAATAGAAAGGAAAAAAAAGAAAAGAGAAAAGAAAATTAAAGAAAAAAGAAAAGAGAGAAGAGAAGAAGAGAAGAGAAGAGAAGAGAAGAGAAGAGAAGAGAAGAGAAGAGAAGAGAAGAGAAGAGAAGAGAAGAGAAGAGAAGAGAAGAGAAGAGAAGAGAGAAGAGAAGAGAAGAGAAGAGAAGAGAGAAGAGAAGAGAAGAGAAGAGAAGAGGAAAGGAAAGGAAAGGAAAGGAAAGGAAAGGAAAGGAAAGGAAAGGAAAGGAAAGGAAAGGAAAGGAAAGGAAAGGAAAGGAAAGGAAGGAAAGGAAGGAAAGGAAAGGAAAGGAAAGGAAAGGAAAGGAAGGAAAGGAAAGGAAAGGAAAGGGGAAAGGAAAGGAAAGGAAAGGAAAGGAAAGGAAAGGAAAGGAAGGAAAGGAAAGGAAAGGAAAGGAAAGGAAAGGAAGGAAAGGAAAGGAAAGGAAAGGAAAGGAAGGAAAGGAAAGGAAAGGAAAGGAAAGGAAAGGAAAGGAAAGGAAAGGAAAGGAGAAAAAAGAAAGGAAAAGAAAAAGAAAAGAAAAGAAAAGAAAAGAAAAGAAAAGAAAAGAAAAGAAAAGAAAAGAAAAGAAAAGAAAAGAAAAGAAAAGAAAAGAAAAGAAAAGAAAAGAAAAGAAAAGAAAAGAAAAGAAAAGAAAAGAAAAGAAAAGAAAAAAGAAAAGAGGAAGGGGAGGGGAGGGGAGGGGAAAGGAGGGAAGGGTGGGGGAGGAGGGGAGGGAAGGAAAGTGGAAATGAAGGCAGAGGGGAGGGAGGAAGGGAACTAAGACACAAAGAGCAATGAGTGCAAGAGAGAGATGCACAGAAAGCAAACGAGTAGAAACTGCCCCGAACAGGAGGCTTCAGCCCCCCCTGCGCACCCAGACCCTCGAGTCAGGGGGCTGCGGGGTCACATCCAGCCCATGCCCGGCGCTGTTTGCACGGACGTGTGCGGGGCTGATGTGTCTAGATGGCAGGACAGGGGTTCTGATCATGCGGAGCATCTGATCACCACTCGGGATCTGATCATGAAGCTACATGATGAGATCAAACATCTAAGAAGCATTTATTAAGTGTTGTGTTACAGAACAGGGCAGGAACCTTCTGTAGTTGAGGGCTTTTTCTCCCTCTCCCATTTTACAGTCCTTTGGTATGTAAAAACTTTCCGAGTTTCAGCCTGTCCAGCAAAAGCTCCCATCATCCTCAGAATGTCTCCCGAGGCAAGTGCAGAAGGACCATGATCCTCACATGGGCTTTCCCTGCTTCCTGGGATCAACCTTGCCTGCTTCATCACCCAGGCCACCTCTCATCTGAGCTTCTTGGTTCTACCAGAGTTGGATGGCTTTAGTTATCTTGGCTCTGTACCTTTACTGTGCCAAGTGACTGATTACCATCCCAGCCACTCCAGTGGTCGAGGAACAAACCAAAGGGCAGAAAACCTTCTGTCACCATCCCAGGTCCAAGAGACCACAGCATCCATAGCTCTGCTCTGCTGATGCCTTTTCTCCCTCCACCTTTCCCTGCCTACTGCATCTTCCCAACCTTTCCCTTGTGCTCCCTACTGAAGTTAGTGCAGGCTGGTGAGGAGTCGTGCCAGGGAGCAATACAGCTCAGAAGCAAATGGGAGCTAGTGTATCCTCCAGCTCCTTGATAGCAAGGACTGGCAGACAGAGAGGAGAGGGTAGCAGAGAAAGGGAGAGATAGAAGAAGAGAAAGGGCTCCCTTTTACCCAGAGAGTTCTTGAACCAAGCTAGAGGAGTCCAGTCCTCACAGTCTCAACAGCAATCCACTGTTTTCTTTCCCTCTCCCTGTATCCTCTTTCACATGGAAAATCGAGCCTTTACAGAGCCTCCATTGCTTTTGGGGTTGTTTCATTTTAGCCCTACTCCTTTTGCTTTTCTAGATGAGGAACAGGCACACCAGAAGTGGATACAGACCTCTGGTCACAGTTGCGAAATGCTGTTTGCTCAAGCCAACCCACCCCGACAGCCCAGAGAAGAGTGGGAAGAGCCCCAAGAGTCAGTTCCAGTCAAGAACCCACATCATGTGCACACAAAACTCCATCTGCAGCAGAAGCATTTCGGGGAAAGCCTTCCAGGGGCAATCCCAAGCACATGCCTGCTTGCCTGGTAATGAGGCTGGATGTGAAATCTTCACATGCTCTTCACACATGTCTGGAGATGCAGGCACAAGGGTTTGCCCTGGAATTGTTCTGCTTTGCTGTGCCAAGCGTTCTGATCCACCTCAAGCTGCTCTGTTAAGCAGACACACCAAAAACCACCCCACGGGCAGGAGGGAAGAGCTTCCGTGGCTCTGTTTGAGCAAGATTCCTTTTGAGATGGGGAAAGCTCAGACCTGTTGAACAGGACAGATTCAGAGCAAAAGTTTTGAATCATCCCAGACTGGTTTGGGTTGGAAAGGAGCTAAAAGCTCCTCCAGCTCCAACCCCTGCCATGGGCAGGGACCCCTTCCACTGGAGCAGCTTGCTCCAAGCCCCTGTGTCCTTGAGCACTGCCAGGGATGGGGCAGCCACAGCTTCTCTGGGCACCCTGTGCCAGCGCCTCAGCACCCTCACAGGGAAGAGCTTCTGCCTAAGAGCTCAGCTCAGTCTCCCCTCGGGCAGGTTCAAGCCATTCCCCTTGGCCTGGCCCTACAGGCCCTTGTCCCAAGCCCCTCTCCAGGTTCCCTGCAGCCCCTTTAGGCACTGGAGCTGCTCTAAGGTCTCCCCTTCAGGAGCCTTCTCTTGTGCAGGCTGCCCCAGCCCAGCTCTCTCAGCCTGGCTCCAGAGCAGAGGTATTTCATCACTTTGTTCAGTGTTCTCCCCCAGGCAGGAGTTCCCATGCCATCCAGCACACTTTGTCACGCTGCATCTAATCCTGTTCTGGCCCATGTTCCTTCTCTCCATCCCTGGAGCATCTTCTCCCTGGGCGGGGTTGCAGAGGTTTAAACAGCTGGTTCCACTGTGTTTGCTCCGGGGGTTTCACCTCTGTTCTGGGGCTCTGTTACGTCTCCAAAAGCCCTCTTGAAAGCAACCCTCACAGAGAGCGTGAACTTCTTTGTGCAGCTCCCAGCCAAGAAGTAAATTCCAGGGTTGATGCTGCTGTTCGCACAGGCCAAGGGCAGAGAGGCATCGAAGACAAAGACTGAGAAATCAAACAGCCTTAGCAAAAGCCAGTACCCAAAATCAGCTGTGAAGAAGGGGAAGAAGACGACAGCGAGCAGGACCACAGCACAGAGCTTCCCTGGAGGATGCTGCCATGAACAGCACAAGACCCTGGCAAGCAGGGTTAAACCAGATAAAACCAGGGTAAGTAGCGATAAGAGGTAGCTGAGGACAAAGGCAATGAGTGCTGCAGGGCAGAAGAAGAGGGTCAAGGTGAGAAGGAAAGAGAGGGCCCAGAACAGGGCACACACAAGCACTGGCAAGCACTGGGAGCGGTGGCAGTGGGCCATGGGGAGGACAGACAGAGCTGCCATGGCACTGAAGGCTGTCAGGAGGTAGACGCTGGCGGTGAAAGAGAAGAGAATGGTGATGTTCAACACAGTTGTCACGTCCTGTGAGCCCAGCCTGTGGCAAATGGTTTCCGGGCCATAAAGTATCCCAAGGGCAATGGTGATGGAGAGGAGGAAGGTGAAGTCGGCCACAGCCAGGTTGAGAACACAGATGGTGATGGGGTTCCTGCGGGTGTGGGAGGTGAAGAACCAGA